GCGCGACAACTACGTTACTGCGACAGCCGAGCCCTTGCGAAGAGCAACCGAGCCCCTAACCCTTGTCACACGGGACAGCCACTGGAACCGCGGGTGCCGGTACAGCAGCGACTGACGAGGCTGCTCCACCACGTACGTTCCATTTCTTGCCAGGATCAATGCTATCAACATACAACTCCTGCGGCGTGCACGAGCAAGCATCGTGCAAGGTTGGATAGTTTAGCGAATCTTATACAGTACATGCATGTATTCCTGGCCTGGTAACCATGACGTTCCCTTCCCTCACAAATCGCACGTGTTCGTTTCCAAGCGGGTTCAGGTAGCTTCGCAAACTGGTGCCACGACTTGTTATCGACCAGGATGCACATAACACCCCAAGCCAAACGACAAAGCCATCCGGCTTCGCTTGTAAAATTGCCATTATCAGCAACCTCGGCTAGACAGGGCAGCGGTGCACCGCGCAGACGAGACGATTGCAGACGAGGCTCGAGAAACCAGAGGGAGACAGGATGTCGAACGCAGATCCACGCTCTTGCAGACCATATTTAGAAGCATCCATGAGGTCAAAGTGCGCAGTCCTGTAACCTCGTGCTTGGACAGCTTTGGTTGCCGCGCCGGAGCCAGCAAACATTTCGATCCATTCAAAGTTCTGAGTTTGCAGAGCATGCGTCAGGAGAGGTTTCATATGCGCAAGCATGTGGCATGTATGTGGCCGCAGGCCGCGAATCTATACCTCTTGCCACGGCTCTGAGGCTGGGTTCTGCATGCAATCCAGCCACGAAACCATTAAGATGATGAAGATGAACATCTGCGCGTGTGTCGGAACAGCATCTCACCCTCACCAATGCATACACCCCTCGTCTCTATGCTTGATGGCTCTCTCGCTCTCTCTCTCGCTCTCGCTCTCTCTAAAAGCAGAAGTTGCCTGGCCTTGGGACAATCTATCGCCACTAGGTTCTGCACCATGCAATCCGTTTCTGCTTCAGAAAGCCCCATAGCGTCCGGCCACGAAGTTAACTTGAACAAGTGGCTCCAAAGCAACGTTAACATTCATATTCAGCACACGGAGCCGAAGGCAGACGCTGACAGCAGAATTAACATTGGCCAGGAAGACGTTTCTTTCTTCGGTAACCCCGCCGGGCTGCCCACATACCTGCGCTGTCTCGAACATGCTTATGTGGTCTGCGTGCATGTGCACAGACATGGCAACCGACCGGCATTTTTAGCGTGCATTTTCATGGGCTGCAGTTTGCGATCGCTTCATGCGCTGCCGCACCTGCTAAGCTGTGTCAGCACGCAGTCGAACCCCAAGCAAAATCACATCGCTACGTAGATCGATGAATGAAACCCCCGCAAGCCACCCCTACTCACAGCTGGCTGTTGAGAAAGGCTTGCAGCTTCTTCAGCGCCGCTTTCGCGGGCTGCTCGTCTTTGAAAAGCGGCCGGTAGCTCTGCACGGCATCAGTCACAGTAACGGCGTGGCCGTTGTAGATCTGGTCTGCCTCAATGTTATAGCCACGCAGTCGTGCAGCATGCGTAGCATCGGTCATGCAGCTAGGGAGCCATCCAAGAAAACAGCTTCACCATCAGCTTGGCATTGTTGTTGGTCGAGCTCCCGACAAGATAGATCACCTAGGTCACAACGTTTTGCCTGCCTCCGCCGCCGGCTTTGAGGACTGCGCAGCTTATAGCACGGGTCACATGCCATCAAGCCACATTAATCTTCTTGTTTTCGCCATCTTTCATCGTGAAAGCCATGTCGCCACGGCTCCAGTACGGCGTAATCTTGCAAGATCCTGCCTCGTTGCCCTGCTCATGGTTGAACAGCTGAATCATCTCTTTCACCGCTTGCGTGTTGTCGTCGTGCTCGAAGTTGACCTGGCCGGTATATGTATATGGGCATACGTTTTTGTAAGTTTGCCTGCTTGATAAACATCGGACTCATCACTCATGTGCACAAAACACCCCGACCCTGCTTCTCTTCGCCGTGTCATCGCGCTCCGTCTTCGACGAATCGTTGGGCTTGGTGGCTTTGGACTTGGCTTTTGCTTTTGGCTTGATGGGGCTTCGGGAATCCGCGCCATCGGCCTTCGGAGGGGTTTTGCCACGTCTGCCTTTGCTGTTCTTAGCCTTGGCAGTGGCTTTGGGGCTCGCAGGCTCGGGGGCCCAATCAAAAGCGGGGGCTTTGCGCTCGTTGCTGGCGGGGCTGCTTCTGGGCTTCTTCAGAATCGATGGGGGCGACTCACAAGAAGCCAAGCTGTCGGTGAAAGAATGCTCGGACATGCGCCTCAAAATCGCCCGCTTGCGAGACGGCTTCGTCTTGCGAGCCTTCTTACCCTTAGGCTTGCGATTCTTCAGCTTCTTCGGAGTCTCTGAGGCCTCCGTCTCCGCAGTCTTCCTGGCTTTTTTCTTCGCGGCTGCGAGCTCCTTCTTCTGCTTCTTCAGATCATGCTGCTTGATGCGAGTGAGAACCTCGAGAATCGAGACATCAACAGTGAAAGCTGAATATCGAAAGAGCACAAGCCATCTAGATCAAACTTGCAAAGTCACCTCCTTCGGATCCGGCAAATCAAGCAGTGGCACTTCCAGCTCCTGTGTCTCCAGGTTGTCCATGGCATTCGGATCCCCACGAGCAGCGCACGGGAGAGCACCTCAGACCACGTGGCATGCATTTGCCAACATATCAGCATGCAACAACCAGACACTTCCGCGAATCACAACTATAAGAGTAGACGCCGGCGTCCAGCTGCAGCTGATGAAGACGCGCCCGTGCTTCAGCAACAGCTTCCTGAATCTGAAGAATCTCGGCCTCCTCATCCTCATCCTCGCTATCCTTGATCTCCCAAGCCCCTGCGCAGGACCCTGCAGGCGCAGCTGCTTCAGCCTCTTCCGGCTCAAGCGACGCTTCAGGCACCGGTGGTGCAGGCGCAGCTGCTTCAACCTCTTCGGGCTCAAGCTGCGTTGCACAGGTTTCCGTCGTCGTGCCTGCCGGGTGCGGTGGCATTCGTGCCCAAACAGCAAGGCAGCTCTAGAGGACGACTGCATGTAGCCTGGCACTTCACAATTCAGCGGTGGACCCACATGTCCGGGATTCGAGCGAGGTGGCCCGAAGTCTTCCCCCGCAGCACGTGCTCTGCTTGCTGCAGCATCAAGTGGCAGTCCGTGTGGGGTCAGAG